CACACACACACACACACACACACACACACACACACACACACACACACACACACACACACACACACACACACACACACACACATATATACACTCTGTATGTATACATGTAAGAAAATATATATGTAATGTGTTATACAAGATGTTTTTAAAATAACGCCCACTAATCGAAAATTGCAAAATGGCATAGGATTTTTCGAGTTTTTTATTAGGAATAATATAATTAGTGGGCGTTATTTCAGAAACATTCTCTGTGTATGTGTGTGTGGGGGGGGGGGGAGTAGGAGGTGGGTGTGTGGGTATGTAAACTAATAGCATTTTTCTGACAGAGCGCACTCTATGCATATTAAAGCTGTTGTACACTAATCTAATCTGAATGTATAAGTGAGATATCTCAATTAATAAATTACCTAATGTATATTTTGTCAAATATCACAAGAAAATGTATTGAGGATTTTACAGTTTAATTCGTTTTTATATTTTTGTGTACGATGACTTTAAAATACACTGCGTGCACACCAGCTTTGCTAATGAAAAACGCTGTCCTTTTTTGGCAATGTAAGCCATAAAATAAATATAAATTTGACCATACTCATCCATACCATCCACTCATACCACTATCCTATTGCTACAACACATCTCTTTTTATACAATAAATTTCTATCTAATGACCTATTCACAGAAGAGAAAGATTTTTTATCCTTACATATCACAGAAAAATTATAGCCGTATTTTGCTATTGCTACCTTAATGAAACTCATATTTTTTTGAGTCCAATTCCTCATTTGAAAGTCTAATTCCATATTTCCTTTGTGTTCCTATCTCAGATCCTGAATCAGCTACTTATTTTTCGACACTCTTCCATATAATGTTCCATGCAATCTGTACCTACTCCTCCAAAATGTACATCTCCTATTCTCTTCACTTAACCAGTATTTATTTCTTTCTTCCATATTTTCACACCTAAGTTTCACTAACTCCCTTACACCCTTTCCTATTCCCTTATTCAAATTTTTCTTCCTTAAATATTTGGGGCTTCTATTTCCTATTTCCTGTCGAATTTTTTGTATCTGATTGATAAATATTTTATTCAATCCAAAATTAATTATTCTATTTCAGAAAAAATCAAAGATAGATACGTCTTCATTGGAAATTGCTTGCGACACAGGCCAAATTATATTAGACACGATAAGCATATCGGATAACGACAGTTCACCTAAATTAAAAAAGAATGCGAAAAATGGCGAAGAGCGTACAGAAAGTAAAGTGTATTTAGGACCAATAAGAGCTAGATTATTGCCTGCAAGACGTGGCAGAAATATCGAACGGCGAAAGGCGTCTACGAAGCGTTGGGTAGAAAGGAAGAAGGCACTTTTGGCTGCAATAGGGGAGGATGTGTCCGATACAGATTCCATAGCTTCTGATGAAATGCAATTATCGCCCGTGCAAAAGGCTCGTGCGAAGGATAAAGAAATAGAAAGACAAAGGAAAATAGCCAAGGTGCTGAAAAATCTAGAAACAAATCTTACGGAGAAATATGTTCTTCGTGATAAAAACATAGATTCCGACGCGCGTAGAACGAGAAGTACTTTGCAACACAATAACAAAAACACTGTCAAAAATTTATTGAACCAAAACAATAAGAAAAACACTGTTGGGAGAAATAGGTCTTCTGTAGACAGCTCGATAGAAAACTCTCCATCTTTATTAACAAATAATTTTACATTAAATGACGAGAAAAAATTCGAGATACAGGATGATGATCAAACTTTTGAACCTAGTTCGTTGAAATCCGAGTTAGTGATCGGTGACACTACGTTCTGTATAACATCAACGTTGATTCTTGTGAATGGAAACAATGAACAAGCAGAGTGTAATAATTCAACGAAGGATTCTAAAAGTTTTAGTCCTGACGAAAGCAATCGGGAGAGGAATACTGATATCTTCGATGCGGTTCAATTGCGTAGAGTAAATCCCGTGATAACTACTACAAGCCAAAAGAATAACAAGCCTAATAATAAGTTCATTGAAAGATGTTTGAATATTGAAGTAGAAGGTAATGAATTGTCGGTTTTGAAACGCGTACAACGCGAATTGGCAGATTTTGTCCAAAAAGAAATTAAATACAAGTTATTCAGCACGAACGATGACGATGCGAAAATCAATAAAACTGATAGTACTCAAACAGAATCTGCTACTTTCTTCCGGGAAAAACTCGACCAGAAGTTGAAAGATATAATAGAAAAAGCTATAAAGAAAAATATCGTGTTATCTGAAGGCAATACGAGTGATGCATATAGTTCGAGCCCCAAAGTATCAATGTTGGCGAAGTCGCCCAGATATCAGCCGAAGGTTATGGTAAAACGTCTAGACATAGCAAAGGAGAGTAAGCATTATAAAATTAATAACGCTTGTACGTTAAATATGAGTTCGTCAAAACGCAAGCTCGCTGGTCCATTTATCACTCGTAATAAACGTGCGAGCATAATTCCAGTAAGATATGGTGAATATGCCTCATTAGATTCCTCCGATTCCGAAGCAACGAATAATAATAGCATTGAAGATCCCAACGAATGGTGTCCAACATCTAAAACGACTAACTCAAAAACATCTAAGACAACGCCGAGACAGATCATTATCGGCAAATCGGTGGAAAAGAAACAAAATGAACAGAAAACTGGTTCTGAAAAAATTGTCAAAACAGCGAATACCAAAGTTGAGAATCATATATGTGGAGTATGCGGATCAATGTTTCACAGTCGCACGGAGGTCGAGGCGCATGTCCGTACTCATCAATTGGCACCGGGTGCCTCCGTCGTGCAGGTTGTGCTACAAAATAAAGAAATCGTGCCACAACAGATTAAGCCGCAACAGATTAAGCAGAAGATGATGCGCTGCAAGAGATGTCACGAGATAGTCGAGGCGCGTTTTGTGAAGGTGCACGTATGTAAAACGTATCATAAGTGTCATATTTGCAACTCCATGTTTCGCGCGAAGAATCTTCTCTTGAAGCACTTGGAGAACCACGATACCAAGTTCAAACTAAATGTGATCGAGAACAAAAAGTTGAATAATACTGATACGTTGCAGAAAATTGTAGCGATTACGTCCGTAATGCCACAGAAGGCTCAAAATCAAGCCCAGGGAAGCGAAACTATGATAAAAACAGAAATAAAAAACGAGAAAAATGATATCCAGTCCGATAAAATAACTAGTACAGGTGTAAAGCTAGAAAGCACTGAAAATGTAACGAAGCCTAAAGAAACATATACTTGTTTCGTATGCGATAAAATTTTCACAGACGAGGAAGTACTGAAGGATCATTTGCAGAAGCATTGTGATGATGAAAGTGAAGGAGAACAAAATAACAGCAAGGAGCAGTATCAATGTGCTATTTGCGGCAGTACTCTGGAGTCAGATCAAGCATTAGAAGAGCACGTTGGTAAGCATTTATTTGACGATGAAGACGACAATCCTAATCTGATTAGTATAAACCAAGGCAATGAGAATGAAAGTAAATTAAAGGCAAACGATTCATACCAATGTGGGCAATGCTCAGAGATGTTTGATTCGGAGGTATTGTTAGAGATGCATATGCATGCGCATTTGGAGGAAGTTGCGATAGCAGAATGGGAGCAACAAGGATTGAAGATTTATCAGTATCAATGTATGCTTTGCGATGAATTGTGTAATACGGAAAAAGAGTTATCTGAACATTTGGACATACATAATGCAAACGCGCATGTATGTCAATTGTGTGACAAGCCGTTCCGCACGTTAGAAGATCTACAAGAACACGTTGCGACTCATTGACGTACTCGATAATGTTTTATATGAAAATATTAATACAAATTATAAAACATCTTTGATATAATAATGAGCAGATGGTTGCGTTCGGAAAGTGTATTATAAGAAACTATTGCGTCATAATATGTCTTTATCATTTGTTAGACATAAAATAAGAATAGAATAATGCAATTATTCTGACAGCTTTGCGCTCTCCAAACGCAGCTAATGTTGTAATGTTCTATTACGAATGTATGCTGCCATAGTTGCTGAAATCAGTCAGTAATATGGATATATAAATTTTCTGTACGAAATGTACAAATTAGCTGTACATTTAATTATATAATTTGTTAATTTGAAATTTTTGCTGATTTACGTGCATAAATTTATATACAAATATAATGTAATTTATAAAACAACATGCTGCTTAAAAAGTTTAATTTTTGAAACTTTGATTTATAAG